GCCTGGGTGCTGTCCCTCAGCTCTTCAGCTCAAGGCTAGCGCTCTACCACTTGAGCCACAGCGCCACTTCCAGCTTTTTTCTTTTTGCTTATGTAGTGCTGAGGAATCGAACCCAGGGCCTTGAGCATGCAAGGCAAGTGCTCTACCACTGAGCCACCTTCCCAGCCCGTCAGTTACACTTTTATCTACACTATAAAAGAATGCACTTACATGATTTTGGAGTAGGCTTAGCTCAGACTACATATACCTACAGTTCAAAATGCAAAAGATAACCAACTCCTAAACTCACTTCCTTCTCACAAGATTATTTCAAAATAAATAAAATAACCTAGGCTCTGTCCCACCTACAGCATGTGAGGATAGTTGCCTGGAACAAGAGGCAATCTTTCCTAGATTACTAAAGTGCTTTTAGCATTTTAAGAGATTCAGAATTTGTTAGAGGTGGTGGTAACTATTCCTTGCTCCATAAATCAACTTTTGATTCTAAAAAATCAAAATAAGTTATTTTCTAACATTTCTTTACAGTTCCCCTTCAGAAATTAAGAACTTTTCTGTCTTTTAAACATAACATGTTTAATTTTAGGAAACTAAATCACCATATGTAAATTATGTAAATTGGACAGAAATGACTTCTGCCAGTTCACATATAAAAGTATAAGTCTTCTATAATTTAACTACCTGATAAGATCATTTTTCTTTTCCAGATGTAAAGATCCTAACATAGCCAAACTGAAAGAGTAAAATTTCCAATGATAAATCATTATCTACCTATAAATGATCTACATCATATACATTGTATTTCATTTAGTGAAGCAGTAACAGAGACAGTGTGTGGAAAGGTAAAAAAAGGAATACAAAAATGACCAGGGAAACCAAACCAAAAAAGAAAAAAACAAAATAACAAACCTCACCTACTCTAGGTAGGAGTAATTAGGTGAATGAATGCATACATTATCAGTCAGCCAAAGCTAAGAATATGAATTTAACTGAGGGCAATGAAGACTTTAAAACAATGCAATATCTGGTGCCTACATACAAGCCTATATGAAATGAATTGGTGATCTCAGTTCAGATATCCTGGAGGTCTTATTAATTTGAGTGTAGAGTACTGAAGGTAACATGTATAGAATAAAAACAGGTTCCATTTCAGATATGGGTAAACAGCAATTATACTAAATTACTATTTTCACAAGATATCTGAAATGGTTCAAAACTGCTAAAAAATAATTTTGCTATTTCCAGAAATGAGTATTAATTATACTCATATGCCTCAAATGAATTTACATTAAAATACATTTCATGCTAAAATACATTAAATAAAACCCATTTTAACTTTGTGGGATTCCTTTTAGATACTCCAGTTTTTTTCTTTTAATATTACAAAGACAAATTCTTGTGAGTTCAAAGAAGATTAAAAAAAAAACCCCAAGCCCCAATACAAAGTTGCACAAGGTTACACAAATTAAATATTCATCAATTATTTTATTAAAATCTAAAAAAATTGTAGGAAGTTATGCAAGCTGAATATAATTACAAAGAAATAGTATAATAACTATTTTAGGAGAATATAATTTAAATTAAAAATCCCACCACATCAACTAGTAAGAATATATTAGCTGTTTTCAACATTTGGCTTTTTAAAAAAAGTAAGCCAGTACTACATATGTTTTGTATCTATTACTGTTCCGTAAAAATAAACAAAATTTGGCAATTTATCTCATTAAGATTCTGACCTAATCTGAACTTTACACTTAGAATTCAAGAATTCCACTTACCACATATTTTACAGCACTTATAAACTGGTTGTGGAAAAGCAGATGTTGGGTTTCATCTTCAGGATTTGAAGCTGTGTAAAGCATTCCACAAACATTACAGGAAACTGCTCCAAATCTTTTTTGTCCTGCATCCTATTTATAAAAACAAGTAAGTTTTTAATCTTTCCCGGTTACTCCTGAACATAAGATTCCCAGCTACAAAATGAACATTGCATGAGAACTGCTAAATCTATAATGAGTGATTTAATATTGACTAGAAATATCAAGATGTTGTCTGAAATGTACGATTCTAGTAAATGTTTCCATTTTAGTAACCTAATCACTCCTATCACAGCATCCAACTTAAAAACCGAGAAATTATCTTTAACATTATACACTTAGTCCAAAAGCTCCAAACAGCAAATAATCTAAAAAGAATACTATTATTTTTCATCCTTTCAATAATTATACCAGAACCTAGAGGAAATAGTGGCTTGTAGACTCTTTTTTAAAATTTAAGCCTCTTTGCTGGGTGTGGTTACATACCCCTGTATCTCAGCATTCAGGAAATAGTACAAGATTGTAAGTTGAGGCCAACCTAGGCTACACAGTGAGATCCTGCCTCAAAATAAGTAAACAGCCAGTAATAGTGTATAATTCTAGCTACTTGGAAGGGGTTAAACAGAGGTTTGAGGCCAGCTTCGGGGAGAGGGGGTATTAATGAAACTCCATCTGGATCAATGTGAGTATGAAATGGTACATACCTGTCATTCCCAGATACAGGAGTAGGGATAAGACAACTATGAAGATCACAGTCCAAGTCAGCCTAGGAATAATGTGAGGCCCTATCTCAAAAATAACCAATACATATAGGGCTGAAGAAGTGGCTCAAGTGATAAAGTAACTGCCTGGTAAGCAACAGACCCTGAGATAAAACCCTTAGTACTCAAAGAGAGAAAGAGATAGACGGGCAGATAAATACACTGGGGGAGGGGGGGAGTAAAAATTACTTCTCTTTTATCACAATGTAATTATTTTATTTCTATTTTGTATGCCTTTGTGCTAGTGCTAGAGGTTGAACTTAAGGCCTTGGCACTATCCCTTAGCTTTTTCACTCAAGGCTAAGTCAAAGCTCTACTTCTGGCTTTTTGGTTGTTAACTAGAGGTATAAAGTCTCATGAAATTTACTACTCTGGCTTGTTTCAAACTGTGATCTTCAGATCTCAGCCTCCTGAGTAGCTGAGTATTAAAGGCATGAGCCACTGGCACCTGGCACAAATGTTAATTTAAAGATTCTAAATTTTAGCTATGCTAATTAAATGTAAAATTTTGACATTTTATTTAATAAAAACATCCCAATTGTGTTCAAAATTTTTTGAAAACTCAGTGAGATAGTTTACATTTTATACTATCCCTTGAAATGCACTATTTTATTTATTTATTTCAGTTACAATATCTCACTGTGACAAACCACATTTCAAGTGTTCAGTAGCTATGTGACTACCATATTAGACTGCCTACCACACTGATTTGACAACAAAAACATTACTAAAACAAATTTTGTTTTCATTATACTTTTCTAAACAATCATTGAAAAGTTATCCCCTGATATAAAAGCATAATCCAGGATCCAATCTCAAAAACATCCTTTATGTTTGACTGGAACTACACTAAATGACCTTATTACTTTGGATCTCTTCATATTTTATTGACTTCTGTTATTTGTTCCTGTTTTTGTTAGTTCTGGGATTTGTAAACCATAGGCAAGCCCTTTATGCCTTATTTTTCAGATAAGATTTCACTTTTTTTTTCTTGCCTGAACTAGCCTGGATCAAGATTCTCCTATATGCACCTCCTAAGATTCAGGTTTATACATCATGATGACAGCCATACACCACAATATTCAGCTTTTTTGCTAGATCTCACTAACTTTTTACCCAGGTTGGCCTCAACTCTAAGGCTTTCTTATGTCTACCTCTTGAGTAGCTGGCATTACAGGCATGAGCCATCATATCATGTCCAATATTTAAATTATTCTTTAAGTATAACAGGTTAAATAGGGAAAAAAAAAGAAACACTTCCAGCTTCCCATTCAGGAAATAAGAGTTAAAAGACCTCAAGTTTAAGTTTTTTGATTTTTGTTTTTTGGCAGTACTGGGATTCGAACTAGGGATCTTGCACTTGGGAGGCTAGTCCTTCAAAGTATGGTGTTTGGGGGGTTGTTTTGGTGCTAGTACTGTAGTTTGAACTAAGGGCCTCACAATCCTTTCTTGCTTCCCTGCTTACTATCTCACAACTGATACTTTACCACCTGAACCAAACCTCCAGACCAGCCTTTTCGCTAGTTAATGGAAAATTAAGTCTCAAAAACATTTCTGGCAGTGTGGCTTTAAACTGTGATCCTCTGATCTCAGCCTTCTGAGTAGCTAGCATTAAAGGTGTAAGCCATGAATGCCCAACGTTTTTAATCAAATATTTCCCTTTTTAACATCCTGCCACCAAAATATCTCTATTTCAAATTGTTAACCTATTCTCCTTATACAATTATAAAACTACAGTAGATTTAAAATCAATTCATGTGGGGCTGGGAAGGTGGCTCA